AAATTAATGTGTACTACTTCAACAAGTGCGCAGGAAGCAAAAAGCAATAATTTTCTTTGGAACATATTGCACCCAACGCTAGTCAGCAGGATCATAGTGATGCACACCAACCAAATCAGTGTGGCCATAATGTGGCTCCCTTACTGACGAATATAGTTCCCTTGATTTACAACTTGGGGATTTTGTAGATAAATAATATTCCTTCCATATAAAGTAAACAGATACCATGCGTTTGATTTATATTTACTGCTATACTTGTGTTTATCTAGATGTCCTAGAAAAGCTCAGACTCAACACACAGTCTGAGTTTAAATGGAAGAACAGAATACCAATGTTTTAGTTATCATTTTTCTTGCATTGTAATTCACACTGGGCTTTATTATAATACTTTGCTTGAGCCTTCAGATCTCAAGTTGTCAGTCTGGCTTTTCCATCCCCAAATATTCCACCATCTCTCTTTGACTAATTCACAAAGTAAGCCCCCAGTTTTTTTGTATTCCTGTCTGGAACAGCTACCTGTACAGATGAGTCTCCCATGATAAACTTTGCCCCTTCAAGGACAGCCATGTATGAGAATCGCAGCTGATCAGGAGTCTGGATCAGGCCCATTCGGTATTTCCTCATGTTCAGCAGGATGCTTTTGATGTCTACTGATGAGGGGTCTTTCCTCTTGTCCATCTAGAAAATACAGCAATAATACACATTTCCATTAACCAGAAGGAAATCCCAAATCTCTTTATGTCAACCCATGTTTTCAAAGGGAAATCCAAATCAATTTAATCTCCATTATTTTTTCTTCTCCTACAGCATAAACTTGTAAATGACCTGAATGTTTGAGTCTGTATTTTTAAGTTAATCCTGTATTTATTCAAAGCACTGTCTGTTTTGGAATGCTATAGTGAGCAAAATCTCACATAAAATAAGGACAGTGAATGGTTAACTACAGTACAACATTATCACTCTGGAAGCCTGCCAGATTCTGTCAATGAAACACAAACACGGTGACAGCTTGCCAGCTTGCCAGCTTGCCAGATGGTTTAGAGGAAAAAGGAGCTTTCTGACATTTCCCAACAGGCTTTATTTCCAGGCTGTTATATAAACTATCAAAACCTGCCTCTAAAGCTACACCTTACTGTGCTCTTTTAGGAGGAAGGGCGAGCAAAGACAGCCATAATTTCAGTGTTAAGTTTTAAAAATATTTTTGTACACTAACCCTGCGTATTCTCAAAATGCAAAACTGTGAGAAGAACTGTGTTGTATTTGGAGTGTGGGATAAACGTAAATGTACTTCACTTTTATTTTTTCAGCATTTTTTCTCTTATATCTATGTGCTTAAGGTGCTTCAGTCAGACATTCAAACACAATTATTTCCATATTCAAGCGCCAATGGATTTATTACAAAAGTTACTGAGCACATGCCATTTCTTAACATAAAGTGCAAATAATAACTTGTGTGTTAATCTTTAAAATAAGCACAGGTCAAAGAGGGCAAACCTCGCCCAGGGCAGCGCACTCTCTGGGCAGTATTTACATTTAAGAGAACAGTATTGTATTTTGTATATATTCATTTTGTTTTTGTTTTCTTTGTCCTTTTTCAACGTAAATAAGAAAATTTGTAGTACATTGAAAATAACAGATTCTGAGGTCAACTCGAAGGAAAGGCATATGTGAAATGTAAAAGTGAGGTCAGACGTCAAACCTGACATAATTAAACTTCGATGCAAACTATAAAGTGATTTTTAAAATCCCCATGTATCAGTTTCTTAAATGTTGCCAATACAAACAAAGGCAGCAGAATTTAAGGAGAGTTTTAAACACAAAAGATCTTTTATGGAGGTTTGACCTTATTTCACCTTGAGGAAGAGGACAGAGGTCCAAAGTAACAATATACTTAGAATCCCCATATAGCCCTGCCTCTATGTTGTCAATACAAACAATGGCAGTAAGAAACACATTTTTAAATATCTCTATATAGCATTATTATCTCTTTGACCTTTAGCTCAATCTGTTGACTGTGAAGGAAAGATCAGAGGTCAAATGTGGCATGATATGATAAATCTTTCTATATACCATACTTTCTATATGTTGACAATACACTGCAAGCTTCTAAGACTTATAGCTTCCAAGTTATAAAGCTTTTTAGTAATTTTCGACCATTAAATCAATATGTTGACCCTGAAGACATTGGTGGATGTAAGCCAAATTTTAATGGACCATTAACATGACCCCACTCTACACCCCTACAAAGTTTTATCAAAATTCATTCAAAGCTTTTCAAGCTATTGTGCTTACAGGCAGAATGACACACACGCAAACACTACTACAAAAATAATCTCCTTGGTGGAGGTAGCAAAAATACATGAAACGCATTCAGTTGGAGCTTGCGTAGAACAAAGACCCAGGACTTACCAGGACCAGGCATGTGTCAACTAGTGAAAACGTCCCTGAGCGTCCGATTCCAGCGCTACAGTGCACCACAGCTGGTCCTTGATCTGTGCCCAGTGCTCCAGATTCCCGCACCTTAAAGAGGAAGTTTAGGAAGGAAGCCGGGGACTCGGGGACACCAAAATCGGGCCACGTCGTGTAATGAAAGTGGTAGAGCTCCCTCTTCTCCCCTGTCTGTGAAAGGAGACAAAGCAGGGCTCACTAGCAGTTAAACTCTAAAACTTTGCTCTATGTGTATTTACACTTTCAGTTGTCTTTATCAGTGCTGACTGGGGTAACTGGAGGTTACTTCAGTTTAAGAACTGGACTTGGCAAACAAGTCAGCAACAACACTTTCAGTTTCTTTTTGTTGAATAAACCTGCTCCTGAAAAAACACCAATCCAGCAAAATTAACTTGGCTGTAAATTTCCATTAAGAACGCTCCTTTTGACGCTCATTTTAAATATGATGAAACAAGTGGCTGGAGGATTACAGAAACTCAAAATTAAATGATTTGATTTTACGCTGTACTTTGTGCATTTGCCATTTATTTAAAATGTATCAGACTGCTCTCTTGCATCGTTTGCACCTCATTTACATTTTCCATCGACATCTTCCCACCTCCACACTGCAAAACCTTTGTTTGCGTGGGAGAAAAGCTTTGTAAAAATCTGATAAAAAACAAAACATAATAATAATATGTGCCATTAGTGAATAAGGGCAAATCTTTGGTGCAAAACCTCTAAATTTTACTTCTCCTTCGCCACCTTTTGCTGGTAATTCCCCACACTGAGTAATGCTGTGGCCTACTTGAATGTTCTGCAGCTCCAGCCTTCTGGTGGTGTAGTAAGACTTGGTGTCTTCTGACAGCAGTGTGACCAAGAAGCGTGTGTCTCTGAAGGCCATCTCCCTTTCCTCTGCTGTGGGCCAGTACTGGGCACACTTTTCCTATCACATGAGAGGAAATATAAAAAACCCAACAAAACACACACATGTTAAAAGGAGAAGTAGAAGCTGCTATTCAGGGACGCTGAATAATAACTTTACACACATTGCGGTCAAATATCTTCTTAATTCTACCCGGTGACACTGACGCTAACGTCACATGACACAAAACATGTATAACTCTGCTTAAAAAAAAAGGAATTTGTGTACTTCCTTCCTGTAGAAGTTTATCTCTGTTAGTCCTTGCCAAATGTAAAGCCTTGTTCAATTCCAATTCAGCAAGTCTAAGTTTATCACTCAGATTTGCCAATCTACAGAGAAGATCCTTGTGAGTTTAAAAATATCCGTTGATTAGGTGCTCTGTATCTTTCATTTCAAAGAAAACCCGCACAGAGTGAATCTCATGACCCAGCAGGATCCACTTCAGCTGCTTTACGGAGAAACAGAGAGGTCACAGCTGCTCTGCACGACAGACTTTTAGTGTGCGTGTTTAATCTGAACATTGCAGGATCACTGGAGTTAGAGGAGTTGAGAGGTTTGGCTGCATCCCAGATCCACTCAATACATCTGTGTGTGAACACACTGTCAAAACACTGAATTCCAGTAATCCTGCTGACAGGAGGAGGGTGAGAGCACATACAGATTAAGCCTCTAAAATTTATAAACCCACATTTTTTTCACATTTCATGATGCAGCTCTGCATCCAGACAAAAAACAAAAAAACAAAAACACATTTCTCCCACTCAAATGGAGCTTTTCCAAAATGGCTTTTGCAGTGTGTAAATATAAGGATGCCAGGTTATTGTTTCAGTGTGTGCAGAGTAACATGAGTGTGTCGAAAAAGACGACTTAAGCCATCCTTGCGAGGTCTGTCGGCCAGTGTTGTAAGAAAAACAAACTCCTTCAGGTTTCATGCCAGTATAGGCAAAAAAAACACAGTAGAGCTGTTATCAGATAATGTTGTGATTATGAAAAAAGGGGCTTAATATCACATTGTGACATCTCAGGAATGCTGGTTTGGAAAATAAAAACAAAAGATTGCATTTTCAGCCAGATTTAAAATCGCTACAGAAAAGGACGATACTAAGAGGTGTAAGGAACCGACCCTGTTGAGTAAACATCTGTCGGTGAGGCCTCAGATGGGGGGTTGAATTTATCCATCGCCATCACCGAATGCCTCATTTTACCAAATGTTGGCTTTTTGTTGCCAAGGAGGTCACGTGATGCTTAGGTCTGTCCATTTGTTTGTTTGCCTGTTTATTAACAGGATTACTCAAAGCTTAGTGAAGGATTTGAATGAAAATATTTACCAGAGAGTGTGGGCCTGGGCCAGCTTAAAAGTAATTAACAACTGAAGTCAAGTCAAGACTTGGATACGGGAATTTCTCTACCGTTGTGATAAGATGAGGCAAAATTGAACCTTTTGCAAATACACATCAAACTGAAACACTGTGAGACCTCGCTGTGAGGTTCTTAGGATAACATCATTGGATCCAGGGATGCAGTCATGATTATTGGATATTTTATCGTGGATGTAAATGTGGTGTATTACTTTACATCTAACCATTTAAAAAGTTTAATATGAACACTAAAAAGTGCTTAAATTATTTCACACTACCAGCAAGCAAGTAAGTGTGCGTGTGTGTGTGTGGCTGAGGATAAAACAGTCGATCTCTTGACAAGTTTTTCTGTGGTCTATTTGATATTTCTGCAAATTTCTGTGTGTGGGTGCTCACAGTCGAATAACAGAAGTCATACCAGAGAGTGTAATCTGTATCTGCTGTACTCTACACTCACCGAGCCTTTCTCTATGACTCTGTTGAGCATGATGACTGCTTTGGTCTTTTGCTCCCAGATCATGAGCCAAAAGTGACCACAGGTGTTCCTGAGGGGGCCCTGTGGACAAAATAAATAAATAAATAAACAGAAAAACAAACAAACACTTCAATCAGTTACACAGCTGGAAGAGTGGGAGGTCCACAAAACAAATTCATGTGATGTCTCTGCTTTGAACGATAACATCAGATCCACTCAATATATTAGCCATGCAACACACAGAGGTTGGTCTCTAATCTTATGGTCAGCATGCTGCAGAGATTTGCCGCATGATAGCAAGAGTTTAGTTAAAGATCAAAACTGCTAAAGGTTGCCATGTGGCTGAGCTGAGTAAATTATTGGTGGGCTGAAAACCATCAAAATGTCAAAGGTCTTTCATGAGTCTCTTAAAAGTCTGCCTTTATGTTCAGAATACATAACAGACACAGGTACAGTAGTCAGTAGTCTCTGCTGCATTTCTGCTAAACAGAAAGAAAAAATACAAGTGCTTAAACATCAAGATGACCGGCTCATTTCTTTGATATTAAAAAAAACCCTGCCCCTTCACATCAGGACCTCTCCAACATTAGACACGTTTAAAACTCTTTGAAAACTCTTTTTTATTCTTTAGCATTTAAATCATAATGAGTTTCAATTTATGATGCCTTTTTTCAAGCTCTGTTGATAATTTTACAGCACTTTGTTTTTAAATGTGCTACAGGAATTAACTTGACCTCACGAGCCATTTCTCTGGAGTTATGCTGAGGAACATTTTACGCAGTCTTCAGTCATCAGCCACAGAGAAGCCCATCATCACAGCCAAGAAAACATAACATACGGGATTAAAAAGAAAGAAAATTAAAGGATTAAAAGTTTTAAAAAAAATCCTCATCACATGCATTGATGTGGAAAGTAAATGCTGCAATTTTGGTTATAGTTTTAAATGTGTAATGATTGCTTTGTGTAACTAATTTCAGCTGACTCTGATCAGACTAGTGGGATGCTGTAACATTTTAACAAACCACAGATGACTCATCTCCAAAGAAGCAATACAAGAAAACAAAAAGTGTGAAAAAAATAACCCACTGGATGTTATGGATGACTGACAGAACTCAAGTGTGTAAGACTAGACTAAAAAATGTTGTTAGTCAACATCTCAAAAATATCCTCCGGCCCAACTCTTTACAATCTGTTACTGAAGTGAGAAACACGCGATACAGGGTTGTTGTGTTTAATCGTGAGAACGCTCAGTAGCTTTAAATTAGCGAGGTAGCAGTCAGTGCATGGTGAGCAGAATCATAAATAAAGAGTCTTATCAGCCTGGGCTGTTTAACTGTGGTGATGACCGTTGAAGTCCTTTGTCCTTTCATTTCCTGAAGACTTGAAAATATTCAAATCTGTGTAGGAAGAACGCACGCCTGGTTAAGAACCAATGGTAAAGGTTTTGGTTTCATACAACGTTTTGCACCAACTGAAACCCGTCACATGATCACCACAACTCTTGTGGCATGAATTCCTGACTCTTAAAGAGAGAATTTCAGCTGATATTTGTAATAACTGTGCCCTCAAAATGTCAACAACTATTAGTCACGCCAGATAACGTAGCAATAAAAAGAATTTCAAAGGCTAATTATGTGAAAACACCCATTAATTCTTTTCAAGAAGCAATAAAAGATCAGTGTTCCTTCTGATAAATAAACCTCTGTTAACGTGAGTGTTTCACAGCTTCTAGCCTACCTCTCTTCTCTCGCTTCACAAACTTGTGGTATTTCTTAGGTTTCAAATGACTTTTATCTTAATGTCATTATATAATAAGTAGTTGCAGTCGTTCTGATTTAATTAGTAAAGGCTAAAAAAAATCACTGACAGAGTTAGTGATATAAGGAAATATTTTCAACAAAACTGCAATTACAACCGGTGGTAGAGAGATTTAGACATCATTATCCGACAAGCAGCAACTCTGGCAGCCAGCCTGCAAGCTGGATGAGACGGGCTGCTTCCAAAAGCATCTCTGTATTTCAGTCATTGTTTTTAAACACGAAAGCTTCAGTTCATGTGTAATATCCACAGCTTATGACATAACTAAATATATTTCCACAGTTTTCAGGATGTCTTTTGCCATATCTTGTTCTTTGAGTTACTAGCAAACACACAACCACAGAAGATATACTGACCACACCGAGTATAATTACTATATACCATATCTTAGTGTTATATTAATATCTTATACAAACTGCCATGCTAATACAAAGCCCTCAATTTAAATATAAAGGATGAGAGAGGTCATGATAGTGTTGGTAAACATCTATTAGCACAATATTGATACAATAAGCACTACTGGACTTTCATGACGTTGAATTTAAATTGGCCATAACGTCAATGACACAGTAGCTCATCCGTCACAATCCTTTACAACTCACAAAAAATGACCTTGACTTTCAGCACAGTTTAAGTGAAGAGCTATTAGATAATCACCACGCGCATATTTTATTTCACTAAAATATGACAAAAACTCAGAGGAATAGTGGTTCTTGTGAACTGTGTTAGGGATGGCCACACAGTGGACGTCTTGCTGTGGCATTAGACACGGTCTTTTGGCTGGATGAGCAAAGCAAATTAAACTAAACAATAAAACTAACAACAAAAACATGTCTGAATTAGTAAAAGGAACAGAATTACTAAGAAGTATTTTTAAAACTGTGTAATGGACCTCAGAACCTGTGCAACCAGACATATGATAGCTCAGCTGCCTCAGTAACAACAATGTAGATTTTGATTAACTGTCTACTTCTGACTGCTAATCTCCATATCAGGAACAACTGAGCTGAAATAATAAATGAAGCCGCCACAGGTATGCCATGTGTGTAAATGACTTAAATAAGCACATATGGATCATTATGGAACTTCCTATGACCAGCTTTCCTCATATGGGGGGGTTTACTTTTTTTAGCTATAATGCACCTTATGCTTCACTCTGCTCAATAAAGTTCACCCTTTATATACCATCGGCTCAGCGGCCAGTCCATTTCACAGCCACTCTTTAACTGACTGTAATTCTGTCACTGTTTGTGCTACAGACAAAATTCAAACTGATCCAGAAGGTAGAGAAAACCAGCTTTATGGCAATATTTGATGTATCATGGCAACACAGTAGTATCCACAAGGTACTGTAGTCTGAATACAGACAGGGAAATCAGCTCTGCCTAGGTTTTACCATGTGTGCTTCACATTACCATAACTCATCAAACATTTTGGGATAGAGAGAAAATTCAAACGGCAGCTCAAAGATCAGAATTATTTTGTAGTTTTACAGCCACAGTAATTGGGGATTAAAGGGTCAAACACTGGTAATTGTATTGTCTTATGGTGTAAAACAAACCAAGTGTCCCCATAAGAAGAAAAAACGACTTTGTTTGGTGATGCTTAGTTTTTATAGTGTCAGGTCCAATTAATCCAAAATAACTAGGAGAAATTAAAATTGTATTCTGAAAAAGAGCTTTGGCTTCAGGAGGCGCTGGAAGCGAGAAGGACCACTTCAGTTTCTGTTTGTCAAACCAGGGTTAGGTTACATTCAGACGTAAGTCTCATTAATAACCTCTTACAGACGGGTCTATTCACATCTGCCAAGTCAAGCCAGTAACCTGAATATTACAAAAAAATCCTAATGTTCCCACTTTAATGCAGACTTTAACTCTTTGCTTCTTCTTTGATGTGAGAATGGGGGTAAAAGTGTGAGTTGATATCTCTAAACAGGTCGTCCTTAGTCAAATTATTACCTGGAAGTTTGTTTTCTTGTGATAACAGATTGAGTTACTCAGCTCAGGGATTTGCTGTGCTGTGCTGTGTTATGTCTATTTCCACATGCAAATAACTCTGTCTAACAGCAACAGCATTGACGAGCAAAGCACACAACACAAACATTTAGTATTGCTGGTTTACAAATGAAACATCCAACCTGCTTTATTTATTTTGAGCTCTTTTAGTTTGGGTTTTGTGGATTTTTAGAAATTACAGGCTGAGATTAAATAACAAACCAGGTGGTAATTGTACACAGGTTAACATAATAAATAATTATGAGGAGAAGAAGGGGATATGCACAAACTATTATGCAAACTAGCCACATGTACAAAGTTTGATAAGAACTTGGTGGGGGGGGGGGAAGCCACATATAAATATTACAGAACTAAAAGTGTATATAGAGAGATATTTTAGGGCCTAAATAATCAGTCAGTGTTACTAAATAATGGACTATATGGACCTGAAAGCAAGGTACTTAACACTCTGGTGTCCAAACTACATGTCCGATTTAAGATGACCTAGCAGCAAGACACATCCTCACCACTACGGTTTCAACTTGTGTCAAAAGCGCAGCCTTCAAACTACAAACCTGACAGAGCAGTAAAGTATGTTTTATTGACAGTTTGAAGGATCTAAGTCCTACTCCACAAAAACAAATTGAAGCCAACAAAATAACCATGATTATGTTGTCTATCTTGTGGACCCATGTTGTGGAAGCTTATTAAACACTTTATGATGCGCTAATGATACTGTTAAACTACATAAAATAGTACATACAAAAGCAAAACGTGTTCTGAATCGCATTCAGCGTTATATTTTGAACATCTCAACAGATATTTGGGATTCGGGTATTTGTTTTAGTTTGATAAAATTCCAAGCACCATTTGTGGGGCAGAATTAGGGTTAGGAGATAGCACATATAATGATGTAGACCTCAGAGGGTTAACCATGGTGTAGAACTCCTTGGACTTGCCTGAGTCAGGATGTAACTCCTCTGGGCTTCCTCATTCACTACCAGACTTGCATTGATGTAGTCATTCTCTGTGTTCTTCAGCTTCACCCGACTGTGATCGACTGCAGGTGGGATAAGAGAAATGTTATTTGGGCATGGGCTGTGAATTGACAGGTAAACAGTCTGGCCTTTATACAAATGTTTACCTACATGGACTGACATCCCGATATCTGTTTCTGTTGCGATTCTCCGGATACTTTGCCACTTTGTAGGAACACTCGTGGGACTGGTTCCTGATTTCCTGGACAGCGGGAGATTAGCGACACAAAAGAAAAAGTAATGAAACAAATCACTACGTGTACCAAATTCAAGCGGTTACATTTTCAGTTCCGCCCCTCTCTGAGCATTTTCACTAGGCATATATTATCACATGAGAGCAATCAGAAAACCAGTTGGTTTACTCGTAAACACACGCGGTAACTTTCGGCAGTCACTACATATGAACTAAGAGCAGGATCTTCCCGGGGGAGAGCGGATTTAACAGTGTAAACAAGTCTGTAGCTATGTAATGTAGCTAATCGCTTCAACCATATGCACGGGCTTATGACATTGACTAAGCTTTCGGTAACATTAAAAATAAAGTATGTCAGCGACTTCTAAAAATAACGCAAAGCATGAAAATGAGCTACAAAGGAAATGACTTAGAAAAGACGGTTATAACTTTATAGTAAATGCATTCCGGACTTTTAATTTTACTCCAATAAATGCGCGCTTTAAGTACTCACAATCCGCGTTAGCTTTGCGGTTGCTATGCTAACAGACTTACTGAGTAGAGTTTCTGCCACCGGCCCTCTGAATCTATCTCCTCAAACTTCTGGTCCATCTTCACCGTAGCCGTGCCAATCTGTTCCATAGCCGGTTGGGTTGGTTAACCTTTTGACTTTCTACCTCATTACTTTATTTAGGACAGAGAAACCTTTACCCGAACAGTGAACCCTTGCCCTCGCCGCGGAGCTCTCGCTGAGTGTTTGTCCGTTATCTCTCTGCCGCAGTTGTCATCCAAAAGTGAGAAAGATGCGCATGCGCCACAGAGGTCCCTCCAGCGGTTAACGAATCAAATGCATCAAAGATGTTTAGCGAACAAACGAGATGTCAAACTCCAAGAAAACTTTGTCTGAAGGACTAGTTTACAGTATACATCCACGGGTTTCTATCTAATTTCATATTAAAATGCACTGGTGCGCATTTTTTAAGCTTTTTTTTTTAACCATGCTCCATTTTATAAGTTGTCTGTTATGTGTGTTTGTGTGTGTGTGTGTGTTTTACATTAGTATTTTGTAAATTAACAGAATATCTCTGTGCCACTAAAGCTTCATTCAGTATCTATTGCTCTGATGGCAAATAATCAGTTTTATTACCTCTATCAAATAAATTAAAAAGCCTGGCAGGCAAATAAAGATTGCTTGGGGGGCCGGGAAGGGGGGGGGGATTTATTAAAGTATTTAAAACTAAAACATTTTAACAATGATTCAAAAAGCAAATGTATCTTTGACATAAATACATTGTTATTACATTATGTAATTGGAAAATAACAGTGTTCACACTTTTAGAAAGCAATACATTTTTAAAGTTTCAGCATAAAGTCATTTTCATTTAAGCAAATATGTCGGCTGAACTGCTGGTTAAAGAAAATATCTAATAATACAATTACATGGCAGCAACTTAGTGCATTTAGACTATAACTGGTCATGGTGTAATGGGGTGGGGATATTTTTTTGCACACTATGGACCCTTTACTACTAACTAAGTACTGCTTAAAGGCCACAGCCTATCTGAATGTTTTTGCTAATGATCCCTGTATGAGCACAGGGTACCCATCATTTGATTGCTGCTTCCAACATGATAGCATACCATGTCACAAAGCTCAAACTGGTTTCTTGAACATCACAGTGAGTTCACTGTACTCAAATGCCCTCCACAGTCACCAGATCCCAATCCAATAGAGCACCTTTGGAAAGTGTTGGAATGGGAGAATTAATAATATAATATTTTGTCAATATGGATCAAACACTCTGAGGAGTGTTTTCAGCACCTTGTTGGATCTAGGCCAAAGAAAATGAAGGTAACTTTGAAGGCAAAAGGAGTACTAATGAATGGCGTTTTAGAAATGAGTTATTACAGCAGAGTTATTTTTCTTCATATGTTACACCAATGACAGAAAACAAAAACAACACAACAATTACAAGTTTCTGTTAAATAAAACAAAACTCCCAGGAGGACAAAGTACACTTGGGTAACCTGATTCTTGTTAGTCAAAGTAAGCAAAGGGGTCAAATGCAGCATTTCTAATGTTACAGAGGTTCACATTTCCCTTTTCACCTGTAGCAGGTTTGCCAAAGCTAATGGTTCAACTGGCTTTTTGTTTGTTTGTTTCTGAGGGAATGAGGGATCAGATTAGAGGACCACAGAATTTCAATTTATATAGTTACTGTGATGTACACTGTCTGCACACCGTCACAAACTTTAGTGAACTTTTTAAAGTTGGGCAGTCATGGTCATGTTAAGACATGTTATCAACAACTAACAAATATCAGCTTGCTTTGAGAAGAAGAAAGTTGTTCTTAAGAGAACATTAAAAAAAAAAAAAAAAAAAACTACTATTACAGTGACGTTCCCTTCTTCCTTTCTTTTTTTCCACACAGTACAGCAGATGTAAAGGAAAGTCCTGGTGTTGAGACCAGACACATAAAAGTGTTCTCCATGTAGTCGACCACTAAATATTTGGGTTAAGACTTGTTAGTGGTCATGGCAAAAATACAGTCAGTGTTATTTTTCGATTAGGATGACTCATAAAAAGAAGTTGAATGCTGGAGTTGTGGGTGTGTTACAAAACTACTCAGCAATGTCCGCAGGGGGACAGTGTTTCCTCTGCTACGTAAACACAGGCATGGTCAACGTGTCAAGTCATCAGCTGCAACAAGGAAGAAGTTTTCTAACTCAGTGAGTTATTTCACAAATAAAAGCTTCGTCCAGGAAAAGTAAAAGTAGGTAAAAAAGTAAGAGTAAAATGTTAAAGGTGGTAAAATTGTCCAGGTGATTTTATTTGGATTTGCAAATAATATGTTATTTTACTCATAAGAGCTTATCAGAAAATAACATTTTAGCACAAATTAATCCAAATTATTAATATGTTTTGCCTTTTTAAACAAAATTCTTTATTTTTAGATGGCAGCTTATTTAAAAAGCATCTGACAAGACAAAAGTGTCATCTTCTGCCATTTGTAAGTTTTACAAATTAAAGAAACTTTAGACAATTTGGGAGCGATAAGATACACACATTAAATGGTAGACAGACACTGCAAAAAACAACAACAACAAAAAAAAAAAAACCCAACCCAAACAAACAAATACAAAATTCATCCAAATTAAATAACACTTTCATTTGAAAGATAATCATCAATAATTTTGTATGACATATAGTGCCACAAATGTTTATTTCATGCACGTTTTCTGTATTGTGTGTCGAACATAATGCAGAATGCAGTTTGTTCTACTCTGCTGCAACCTATTAAAAAGCTATTATAAATTGTAGACTTTAGAAAACAAGAAGAAACTGAATTGCTAAAGATTTGAACGAAGATGTAAGTGTTCTCACTTCCATTTATGTGTGTGAATGAGAGTGAGTGAGACAGTGAAGCTGAGTAGAGGTAGTGAATTATTGAGACAAACAAAACCCCAAAGAAAAGGCTAACGTTTGATCATTCCATGTAGGTTTGATATCTCCTGCTGGTTCACATATAGAGACAGGTGTGGACACTTACGGTAGACTGAGATAGTTTGGACATGTGCAGAGGAGCAGCTGCATGTATATATATATATATATGTATATATATACATTGCTTTACATCGGTTCTTCCACCGCTTATTAGAAAAGCCTTTATTGTGAAATTATCATATTACATATCGGAAGTTTGAATGTTGTTTTATTTTGGTGTTTAACTTGACCGCGGTAATCAGACTCGGGGAATGTACCTCGGCTGTCCTGCCAGGTTTTTTCTGCTGCTACACATTTTCAGGTACTGTTTCCTGCGAAATGGAGACAACGGTGTACACTTCAGCTGTGAAGTAAAGGAAAATCAGGGGGAGGTTGTATGACGGTAAGTTTTCACCTCGTAGCTCGAACCAGCTGAGCTTTTGTAAGATCAGAACTTCCTTCTCTTCGAGGCTGCTGGGATGCTAGCAATTTTTTTTTTTTTTAGCTTTGTTAGCTTGTAAAATTTCCTTGTTAAAGTGTTGGTCGACAGAAACCTTTATCCGACACCAAATAAAGGTTTACGAGCGCGAAGGAGTACTTATATAAACCATCCACTTAAGTATTTGTTAGTGAGTGAGCATTTGGCTTCGGCTCAGCTGCTCAGCAACTCTTTGGGCGATTAAAGTTAAGTCACTAGCCACCCGTAGCTAGCAGGCTAACCCTGGTTAGCCAAGTGGAAATTGTAAACAAAATTAGATCGTTTCTGCGCTGAGCTTCACACGACGAGTAAGGTGTCTCATGCATGAACGTTTTTACTATTTTTAAAATAAGTTGACAGAGCTGGGTCTTTCCAGCTTTTAGTTTAGGGCTCTAAAAGGCCACAGTTGAACTTTCGGAAAATATGCAACTTTAGCCAAAGTTCTTCTGCATTTGTTTTGTTAGACATTTAGGCTATATATATATATATATATATATATATATATAAGTGAAGACGGTTTACTTCTCTGTTTTGGGGGGTGTGGGGGAAGGTTAATGACTTTACACTAAGTAACCTGCATGTAAAATCAATTTAAATATTACATTATGATCTCAATACAGATACTTCTGTACATTGTTCACTGCTGTCGCTTTGTATCACTGTTTTAATTAGTAGTAGCATATCAGTTGCTCAGTCCTTCCTCGATGGCGGTGCTGACTTTTAAAGCATGCATGTTAAATAAATTCAGGGCATCTTCACTGGGGCTTTCCGTCAGTGAGTCACGGTGCTTTTGCTTGCTCTTGATCCCCTGTAGCATTTCACTTGAACAGAATTAATTCCAGATTTGGGATTTGTACCCAGAACCAAACCATTTGTGCTGTAGCTTTAGGAAAACTTGGTCAGTTCGGTGTTTTAATGTAGAAACTCAAACTTTACTATTCTTTCAGTGGCACAAGTGACTTGGTTAGTCAGCTTTTTTGTTGCTGTAGTACTACTGCCATGTTACACATAATAATAAATATATGTTATTGTTTACATCTCTTGAAACTAGGAATTTGTTTATATAATAATAAATATATGTTATTGTTTACATCTCTTGAAACTAGGAATTTGTTTTAAAATAAATATTACACATATCTTATGCATATCTTATGCACCTGCTATTTTCGGATGAGAAAATCTGTTTTTAAAAAATGTATAAATAAATAAAGAGATGACTAATAGAGGTCAGCCCCTCGTGGAAATTCATCAGAGAGCTTTATTTACTCAAGCATGATTTGCATTTTTCTTTATTACGTTATCAGAACACCTTAGGTTTCTGTCAGGTAAGGTAACGCCGACTCATTGTGTCCTCACCTGCCTTGCCTTTAATAAAAAGTACATTCTTAGCTAGATAAAATCCTTGACAGGTGTATTGGTGGTTTCTAAAAAAGTAGGTTAAGATGTTCTGCTTGTACTTTTATGATATAATAAATTTTTCTTTTATTTGCAGCTAACCAAGTTTGGGGACAGAAAACAAGAACTGGTTTCAGCTGATGACTAGTCTCAAATTGTCAAATCTGCTGAAATGAAACACCTTCAAAACTTCTTGGTTTTATTTTATTTTATTAGTAACCTGTGGCCGAGCCACAGAAGACCCTTGAGCTGAAGCAACATTTGCTCTATTGCAATATTGCCTCCTATCTTATTAGAATGATACACGTGTGTTGACTTTTTCTGTGGCTTGTTGAATGAACTAGCAAATAAGTATGTGCTGGGAACTGACAGAGAATAGTTAAACATCTTTTTTTTTTTTTTTACTGTCAAATCGGGTTAATAGGGTTTTTAGGGTTCTCTGCTTGTGACAAATGATTTAAATGTGAGTCTTTTGTTATGTGGGAACAGTAATAGGTTTTATTACAGCTTTATCTTTGTGTTTATGATTATGTAACAGGAATCCAGATAACATAAAATAGACTTCTGAAGAATATCGTAGTAAATGTGCATAAAACTCACGCTGGTCTTAAAGCAGGACATATTTTAATCTTCAGCTTAGCTCTGTTATATCCCTTCTACTGTAGCTTTAGTAGACTTCGGCAGTAGAATTTCAGCCAAATAAATTTAAAGCCTGTCAAATCAGTGTGTCCATGGCTTATATTACACAGTGAGCCTCATCTCTGCTGGTGAATTGTGAGTTGTTGTTTGTGGGGGTTTCTTTCCTCCTTCATTGTAGAACAGAAATAGCTAGTGCTGTCCCCCACCCCCCATAAATTCACCAATCTGCTTCCTGCTCTCCTGCTGTTTATAGTGCAAAGTCTTTAGCGGACAGTGGAGGGACTGTTATGTTATGTATTGATGATGAGATGCACAATGTGGAGAACTGAAGGAGTGGATTCCCCTAATGTCTCCTGTTCTGCCCTAAAGTAATAAGTGTTGGCCCCCAAAAATATGACTTTCGTTCCTGGGAATCTCTTGACATCATTCATGACATCTGTGTTTGCCCTTTCACTTGCTGTTAGACTTTGGCTTTGTAATGTTTACATCAGGCTGGCATTATGAATTATGTCTTCATCACCAACTTTGCTGTTAACTCAGATGATTTAGAGAGTACATGAGCTTCTGTGGTATTCTTGGAGGAAGAAGAGCAGTACATTTAAGACTGAATGAATAACTGGATTTTAGACAAGTCGTTATTGAACTATAAATTAGTAATTAACAGTGGACCAAAAATTGAAATCCTAAATATCGACCTACGTATGCCAAACACTTTAGGAAAGCATCACTGGTCTAGTGAATTCAGCACAAGGAGGGTTTATTTTTCTTATTTATATAGTTATTATTTTTCCCATGAAAAGTTTCCTTTCTGCTTCCAATCATGGTCACATAGTGGCACAAAACATGTCCTGCCAATGGCTTTATACAAATTCACTGACCCGTAATGATGGTAATGCATCAGCAAAGAAAGGGAAGAACATGAGTGGCATCTAGTAAATATGCTGTATTTCCTAAGAGAGTGTGACTCAACTATAGAAGAACACAGCCATTCATTTGAAGTAGTTTATTTTAAAGTTTGTATTTCTTTTTACTCTCTGGTTGCTAAGTATAATAACAGCTGTTTTCTTGTTAAATATTTGCATAAGTCAAACACCACTGTGTCAGTTTTGAGCACTGTAAAATATTTTAGGTACTTTCTAAAATAAAGACCTGGGTGATATTTAACTGCGGGTTCATATTTGAGAATTAATTAAAGGGGCGGCGACACAGGAAGTGACTAGCAGCAACCAGAAATGACGCGGATAATGATATTCAGCGATTTCAGGTGACAACCAGTGAAATAACAGCTGGCCACATAAAAATGGTGTGTCCCCGTCCAAACTAAGAGATGGTATGGATATAATTGATTGACATGTGAGAGGCTGATAGATTAGAGAGTTACTTCGGCAGTCAGAGCATCAAATGTCCACTAGCCCTCAAACACCAGCTAAGGAGTGAGGTACAAAACGCGAATTGCTTTCTTTGTTAACTGGAGACTAAAACTGAATGCAAGTATCACGTTTGTTTACAGTGATCTCTTGAAAAATCTGCTCGCTGAACATTTGGCGTCTGTCGTAGCTCATATGTGTCTGTATCTGTCTGGTAATGTGGTTACTTTGGAGTATATGTCATGTTGGAAACTGTAGTGTGCACAGCATCCAGTGACACAGACGTGCGTTGCCATAGCCAGTCAGTTGTGAAAGAAGTTAACACTTGAATTTTCAGAGCGTCTGGATAGAAATCACCAAGCAACTTGGCATTCGTGATGGCATTTATATCCTTTTGATTGATTGCATTGTTTCTTCTTCTGCCATTTTTCTAATTGACTGGAAGAGAAAGGATCACCTCGAGTAGAGATATCCCACTGCTAACCAGTGTTTTGGCGGCAGTGCAGGCAAACCATGCATAAGTATAAATGCTGACAGTGGCGTTGGCTACATAGCAGGCTCTACATAGGAAAAATACAGAAGTATAATTTCAGTTTTGTTTGTGTGAAATGAAAAGCAGCGGCATAAAGCCAAAGATGGGCATTGTCAATATCCAACTAAAGTAAATGTTGTTAGGTTACAAGATTTACTTGGTTATTTCTTTATTTTATTACTTTTAAAACTTTATTTGGTTCTATTTGTTCAGGCTTTTAACACAAACCTTTTAACGTCTTTAAAATACATATTTCCCTGATGCTTAATGGAGGACTGGACGAGGGCATGCTTGCTAAGGGTGAAAACCCCTCTCCATAGGCCCTCTGTAGACAAATACCTCCACAAAGAGACACAACTATAGTACCATGAATTAACTATAAGCCTGATCGGAGAGGAGTTTAGGCCTGGAAAGTTCTTCAACAACCCTGTGGTTATGATGGCAGAGTTCACAACCCTGCTGTGCTGCAGAGAGAGCATTTTGCTCTCAGCTCTGTTTGGAAATGCTTAAGATTTCAGTCGGTAGACGGCATTAACTGTGCTGATGCAAAGCTCGATGCACAACAGCTCCGTGGTTGGTTTCATTATTTCCCGTTTATGGTTGGATGCAGCAGAGCTCACTTAGAGTGTCTAATGTCCATTCTTTATAACACAGCCTTATTATTTACTGTGTTTATATTACAATGTGTTGGCATGTAGCGCTTAAAAGAAAGTTTGTTTATAATGTAGCTTTGCAAATAGTTATGTCTTTTGTTTTGTGTCTTGTGAAATTTAAATGGTTCATTTTTCTCGTTTATCTTTGTTTGAAGCTCACAGAGATGAATAGATATCCCTTTGTGAAATAGGAAAATGATATCAGCACTTCCTGTCCTAGGTGGTAGAAAGTCATATTTCCCTGCTGTCTCCATGGTGATACATGAAGATGAATGTCATAATGACATGATAGAGTTTTGCTACGCAATCATTGCACTTCAAAAGAAGCTTTTGTGTCAT